TCAGTTTTTTCCCAGGAAAGGTGTTGAATTCTGCCAAAGGCAGATTTTTCTCTTTAGATCTATTAATGTGGAAGATTATAATAATGGATTTACCCTTTTTTTAAAAATGCTGCTTCTGAATTCCTTTAATTCCATATCATCATGGTATATCATTTTTACAAATATGGTATTGGGTTCTGTTTACTAAAATATTTAATACTTTCGCATTGATATCTGTAAGTGATTTTGGTGTTTTTTTTCTGTCTTCATCAAGTATATTAATATTATACTTGTTAATGAAAAGAATGAGAAAAAGTCCCTTGATTTTCAATATTCTTGAACAGTTTATAAAACTTTAGGATTATTTAACCTTCGAAGATTTGGTATAATTCCCCTGAGAAGGCATGTGGGCCTGGTTCTTTCATGTCGGGGTAGGTGCTTGATAACTTGCTGCTGTATTTCTTCTAAAGCAACTGATTAATAATTTTTCTGTCTCTAATAGGTCAAATTTGGTAAATTGTATTTTCTTAGGAAATCACCCATCTCATCCAAGGTTTCCTATTTATTTACACGAAGATATGCAAAGTAGTCTTTCATGATTTCACAATGATTCAATGGTTATTCCCTCATCATTTCTCTCTTCCAATTATTTGTGATTTTCTCCTTTTTAAAAAAAATCAGGTTAGCTTGTTGTTTGCCTGTTAATTCTTTTAGGTCTTCTGTTTTTTTATTCTTAACCTTATAAATTTCTTTTGAAAAACTTTTTATTAATTATTATTATGAAAAAATATATGCCAGTGACAAAAATTGAGTAGTTCAGAAAGGATATAAATTTTCCCCAAAGCACCAGAACTGTTTTTTTCAAAAACAGCTTGATTAAGGCATAAATGACATACAATAAACTATACACAATTTGATAAATTTTGACACATATATACACACTGAAATCATCATCACAATCAAGGCAATAAACATATCAATCATCCCCAAAAGTTTCCTCATGCCTGCCTCTTTGTAATCCTTCTTCTCTTCCAGCCCTCCCCAAGCAATCACTGATCTTTTCTGTTACTACAGATTACTATGAAATTTCTAGAACTTAATATTAAGTAGAATCATTCAGTATATACTCCTTTGTTGTCTGGCTTCTTTCATTCAGCATAATTATTCTGGGAATTCATCCATGTTGCTGTATATACAAGTATCAATAGTTTATTCCTTTTTATTGCTGAATAGTATTCTACTGCATGGATATACCACAGTTTCTTTATCCATTCACTGGTTGAGGAACATTTGGTTGTTTTCAATTTTTGTCTATTACAAATATAGCTGCTATGAACATTCACGTACAAGTCATTGTATGGACATACACTGCATGGATATACCACAGTTTCTTTATCCATTCACTGGTTGAGGAACATTTGGTTGTTTTCAGTTTTTGTCTATTACAAATATAGCTGCTATGAACATTCACGTACAAGTCATTGTATGGACATATGCTTTCTTTTTTCTTGGCTACTAACCTAGAAGTGGACTATATGTTAGGCGTATGTTTAAACTGTTTTTCAAAGTGGCTATACCATTCCCACCAGCAGAGTATGTGAGTTCCAGTTGTTCCACATTTTTGCTAAAACTTAGTAAAGTCAGTTTTTAAAAATTTAGCCATTCTAATGGGTGTATAGTGATACCTCATTATCATTTCAATTTGCATTTCCCTAATGACTAATGATGCTGAACATCTTTTCATTTGCTTATGGGCCACCTGTGTATCTTCTTTGGAAAAATGTCTAACCAAATGTTTTGCCTGTTTTTAAACTGGGTTGTCTTTATTGTTGTGTTGCAAGAGTTCTCTATATATTCTGGATACAAGATTTTTTTTTTTTAAATCAGATGTATGATTTTAAAATATTTTCTCCTAGTACATGGCTTGTCTTTTTATTCTTAGCAGTGTTTTTTTCAAGAGCAGAAGTTTTAATTTTGATGAAATCCAATTTATTATTTTTTTTCTTTTATGGACTGTGCCTTTGGTATGGTATTTTAGAAATTTTTGTCTAACTCAAAGTCATGATGATTTTATCCTATGTTTTTTTCTTGAAAGTTTACAGTTTTAGGCTTCACATTTATAATTCATTTTGAGTTAACTTTTGTATATGGTATGAGATGTGGCTATAGTTAATTGTTCTAGCGCCATTTCTTGAAAGACTATCTCCTTCTCCATTGAATTGCCTTTGAACCTTTGTTCATATGTCCATATATATGGATGTTGTTTATTTCAGGACTCTTTACTGTTTTCCATCTATCTATTTGTCTGTCTTCATGCCAATACCACATTGTCATGATTACCATTTTTTAAATAATATGTCTTGAAATCACATAGTGTGAGTCTTCCAACTTTGTTCTTTTTCACAATTGTCTTGGCTATTCTAGATTTTTTTCATTCCCATGTGAATTTTAGAATTATTATGTCAATTTCTACCAAAAGGTCAGCTTGGAATTTAATTGGGGTTGTACTGGGCCTAAGAGCTCAGTCCGGAAAGAACGGATACCTACATCATATTGAGTCTTTCAACCCATGAACATGGGGTATCTCACCATTTGTTTAGGTCATCTTTAATTTCTCTTGGCAATACTTTGTAGTTTTTTGTATACAGGTCTGCGTATCTTTTGTCAGATTTATATCCAAGTATTTAATACTTTTTTTTTTTTATTTTTTTTGTCTTTTGTCTTTTTCCGTGTCCGGCAACGGATCGCAACCCTCAGTGTTGCCCCCGTACCGGACCGGGGACCGGCAACGGGATTGCAACCCTCGGTGTTGCCCCCGCGCCTCGCTCAGCCAGTGAGCGGGAACCGGTCCGTATGTGGGACCCGAACCCTTGGACGGGAGCGCCGCCGCGCTTCCCAAGCGGCGCACTATCCAGTGCGCCATCGGGCCGGCCCCAAGTATTTAATACTTTTGATGCTACTGTAAATATTGTTTATTAGAATTTCCATTTCTGATTGGTCAATACTAGCACACAGAAATATAATTAATTTTTGTATAATGATCTTGTACCGATAGTTGTATGTTAAGAGCACCTCTCCCTTTTTAATCTTTTCTCCCCTGAAGAGCTACCTTTCCAAAACTGCTTCCATTTGAGTCCCTTGTGTGCTGTTAGATCCCTCCCCTACTCTGACCTAGCAAGACAACTTCTCAATAATTTTGCACATAGAGTGGACTTTCTCTTTTTGGCAGTGATTTTTGATCAATCTTAAACCCAATGTTTGCTCTTCTCTTTTCTCTTTCATGCATTTTTTTCCCCAGACTGCTTTTGCTTTCTATTTATCAGTAATTTTAAGTTTGAATATTATCTGTCTTTTAGGTGGGTGAGGGTGTGTTATAAGATAAAAAACCAAAGATTTTTTAAAGAAATAAAACATTCCAAAAAAGCTAGAGCTCCAATTTCCTTCCCTATCTTCCCATAGGGAAACCAATGGATAGTGGCTGTATACACACCTGAAGTAAATGTGTAGCATTTCCTTGCATGTTTTTATGTTTACTAAACATGTATACACAAATTATATAGGCTGTTTAGTATTTTTTAAAGTTTACATAAATAGTATCATACTGTACGTATCATTTGCAACCTGACTCATTCACTATTTATAATTTTGAGATTTACCAATGTGGATACAACTAACTAGTGAATATACTAGTTTATTCACTCTAGCTGCTGCATCCCACTGCATGAATAAATAACAGTTAATCATCAATCCCTCTTTGTTGATTCTAATTTTTCGCTATCATAAAGAGCTACTACAAGGCTGGCCAGTTAGCTCAGTTGGTTAGAACATGGTGCTGGTAGCAACAAAGTCCAGTGTTTGATCCCCATACTGGCCAGCTGCCAAAAAAAGAAAAACAAAACAAAACAAAACCCTACTATGAACACATGTTCCTCATGTGTGAATCTATACTTAGATATCAAGCAGTAGAATTTCTGGATCATAGGGTGTGTACATTTATTAGGTATTGCCAAACTGTTCTCAAAAGTTCATATTTCCAGTAACAATATCTAAGGTTTTCCATTTCCCCAAATCCTTTGCCATCACTTGTGGGACATTTCCATTTTTTTCAAAATTTTGAAACTAATCAGGATTAAACAAACTTCTTATAGAAAAAGCAGAATTTAGGGCCGGCCCGGTGGCGCCCTGCTACAGTGCGCCGCTTGGGAAGTGCAGTGGCGCTCCCGCCGAGGGTTCGGATCCCACATACAGACCGGCTGCTCACTGGCTGAGCGAGGTGCGGGGCAACACCGAGGGCTGCGATCCGTTGCCGGTCACAAAAAAAGAGACAAAAAGGAAAAAAAAAAAAAGAAAAAAAAGAAAAAGAAAAAGCAGAATTCACACATGGAAAACTGACATGCTGAATTACTGTTTTGTGTTTTGCAGGTATTTCATGACTGAGTCTTAAACTATTAGTCCTGAAGGTATAAAATAATTGGCTGATTATTTTCTCGGCCCAAAGAGTGATTAAGCATAGCAGTGTGCCTGAAGGTACACTGTTTTGGTCTCATCAGAAAAATGTTTTAACTCAATGTCAGTATATCATTAGATTACTCTGAAGGATGTTTTCATAAAATCTGTTGCTATTATAGCATTTTTGAGTATTTATCACACTGTCTTTTAAAGTGAAGACTCAAAGGAGAAATTTTTGTCTAGTCTCAATACCAGGAGCAACTACACTTACCTTGAACATGTCACTCATTTTTATTGATGGACATAGCTGATAACTCCTTAATTATGTTGTATGTTGGAAGGCTAAGGCCAAACACAAGGTCTATCTCTAATAACTGTCTTTAACATAATAACCTCCCCTTTTAGAGATATTTGTGTTATCATTTCTAGTCTCATTTTGTCTACCTTAATTTTCTATTTTATCTTCTATGTCTTTTTTCATAAATATGAACTAAAACTTTCCCATCATTCTTACACACTGTCAAAGGCTTATCTGATTGGAAACTATATTATAGGATTATTTTAAGGCTTACCTTTTCTGCTACTTCTCGTACAGACTGAACACTTGTTCCATACAGATGATTGTTATACTGGCCAGCTTCAATGAATTTGTGTTCCTGGATATCTTTTTCCATCTGCTCTCTTGAAGTCACAAAATGATAATCTCTTCCATCTACCTCATAATCTCGTTTTGGTCTAGTTGTATCTTTAATAGAAAAGAACTTAGGGAAGTATTTAATATTTAAAAACAAAATTAATTCATTTTCTCCTTAAATCATTGTTTTGTAAAGTCCAACACAACAGGACTGGCCAGAAGCTCAGTTGGTTAGAACGTGGTGTTATAATACCAAGGTGAAAAATTTGTATCCCTGTACTGGCCAGCCACCAAAAAAAAAAAAGGAAAGTTCATCACAACAGAGATTAATTTAAATCTGAGAAAGGACAATAATATGTATATTTGTATTTGTTTTTTGTTTTTGTGGCTGGCTCTTATGGGGATTTGAACCCTTGACCTTGGTCTTATAACTTCGTGCTCTAACCAACTGAGCTAAACAGCCAGCCCCAAGGACAATAATATAGATGACGCAGGAGGAACTGATTAAAAAAAAAAAACAAAACCTAAGTATAAACTACTAAAAAATGGTTATGTTTACTATTACCACACACAGTAACAGTTAAGAACAATAATTAAGGATTTTTGTTTGGGTTACTCACGAGGAACACAGGATCCAAATTTGTCAGGAAATTCTGAGATCAGGTCATCATTTATCCTGTCTTTCATAGGTCCCAATATGATTACTGGTCGAGTATAATTAACTATAAAGAAAAACTGCATGTTAAAAGGAATAAACACTTTACAAACATCAATGTATTTTATTTTATCAGAGAACAAAAACATCCTTAACTGTTATGAAGAAATCTCCACTCCACTCTACCATCAACCAAGGATGCCTAACTTGCTATTTTATAAACCTTTACTAAGATCTTAAACTTGACTCAATCTTCTGCTAGAAATCATACACTTGATAATCCAACCAAGTTAAATTTGACATTTTAGCAGATAATGTTTGTATACATTGCTAACATCATGTCATCACAAATGAGAAAACAAAATATAGTGTTTTACTGATGGTTTTTGGAGCAGAAATTGTAAGGAAGTACAGCAAAGAAGAACAAAAAAGAAATCAGATGTAGGAAGTAATATAATCATAGGAGTATTCTAGAAAGATGATCTAACAGAAGTGTATACATTGGGTTGTAAGGGATCATGGTGGAAAGCAATCAATATCGGAAATGTATCTGAAGATTTTCTCGATTATCAAGATTCTATAACAAGTATATCACTAATTTTGTCATCAGTTTATATTATATGTATGCAGTTGCAGGTCTTTCAAATTCATATATTGACATATTCTTCCCTGCTTTGAAAGTGTATTTCTTTGTTTTAAATTTTATTATCATAGTATATAAAACAGATATTTTACAAACTTTTTAAAAAGTACTGGATGTAAAACATGGTTTACATACTAGCAAAATCATGCAATTTGAATATTCCACACCATAACAATTCATGCAAATGGTGAGAGAGACAATATATACTTTCATCACCTTGTTTTAGTCTACAAAGCCATTCAGCTACTCTATAGTGGGTTCTGATTATAAGTTAATAAAATGTTAAAATACAAGAAATCACATTCCCACACCAAAAAAAAAAAAAAAAAAAAAAAATCTTTAAGTAACTATATGTAGAAAAAAATTACCAACCGAATGAATAAATGAATGAGTATTAAAAGTATATATTGTCAACATGAAAATATTAGGAACTAATATTAACAGGATGGACCTTTTGAGCAACCATACTCATCTGTAATCAAGATTACTTTCATATTAGACAGCAGTAAAGAAAAAAAGTTAGAAAAACGATTTTAATTTTTAAGGTGCTACGGTGCTACACTGATAATATTCATGTACTCTCCCCTTCTCCCATGCCCCAATCTGTTTAAAAACTTCACATGCATGTACAGTTCATTTAATCCCAAGAATGTAGTATAAAACACCAAAAAAAAAAAAAAAAAAAAAAAATCTATTACTTTTTAAGCAATCATGGAAAAATTTTCCTTCATTTCTTATGTTTGCCAAGAGCTGGTAATAAACAATGACTTGTCCCAGACCAGTATTGGTGACAGAATAAGAAAGGAAATCAAGCTAATTATAATTTAGCATTACTGAAAAATATTATTTTAGCATTCATGTTAAAAACAGAATTACTAAACAAAATGTCAAAATATAAGTTTACCCACATTTAAATAAATATTTATTTCTTATAAAATATATACACACACACATACCGTGTACACAAACAACACTGTAAAAAGTATTTAGTATTTTATTAAGACTTTGGAAATTAACCTCTGTATGTACAGTATAATCTTATTTTTCACGTACATGATTTTACTTGGCTCTCCCTGATTTTAGCAGTCCATCGCCTTAACCACTCGGTCACCTCGTCCCACTCTCCCTGATTTTAAAATACTGTTATCTAATTTTCAGTTTTTAGAATATATCACTAAGAAATAGTCCTGCCACCCAAGGATGTATATTACTTGAGATTACAAAAAAACAAGTAATTTAAACACTTACGGTAACTACTTTCACTATCGCTGGCATTAGAAGTTACATGCTCTGTAATTGCAGACAATGAAAACAATAAAGAAAACAGTGTCATGAGTTTAAAAGCTGATAAAAGCAAATTACCAAAATAAAAACAGGGTGACATTACAAAATGTTGAGATATAAACAACACACAACCAACAAATTTTTAAAAAGAATTTCTGATTTTCTTTGAAAAGTTTAACTTTTTCAAATAAACATGAATTAGCATGCGAAACACCTGTAATTAAGGACAATGTCTAATTTTTGTATAACACAGTTTATGAATAAAATCTATATTACGAATAGCAAGTAGAATATGACAGAGGGCAAAGTAATCCTAAATTATTCCATTTGTAGACATAAAACTCAAAAAGAGAAACCGTAGTTGGCATCATTTAATTGATAAAATAGTAATGAGTGGCTAAGGAGACAAGTTGTATTTGAGCAAATAGATGACCATTTTAATGAAGGAATATCTTTGTAATTCAAAAGTGAATAGATGATCTTATATTTAGCCCAGCTTCTCTTTTGTTCCTGAAAAGCAATGAAAATCCATGTTTCAGAGAACATACAGATGAAGCATTTTAAATGCCATAAATTCAGATGTCTCAAAAAAAGCCAAATGGAAGGGAATCCTAGAGGGTGGCATGTATTTTAAAAAAGACTAATATCCAGTTTTAGGATTTTACTGTTATTTTTGTCTCCCTCAAAATTTTCTGAATAAAATCTTGATCTGATGATCATCAAGCTACCAGGTGAATACATCTTTCAATTCCTGTGAATTAAAGCACATAAGACCTATTGATTCAAGGGATCTTAAGTCACTGTCCAGAAAAATCAAGTCTTTTCTAAATGACACTGTCTGATAATCAGTTACCATTTTTATATTGTTTTTCTTTCCCAGTCCCTATCTTCAACTACAGTCAAAGATAAAAGCTCAGGGTGTAATTATCATTTATCATAGCAATATCAATACAGGAAACAGATTCCTCATTTAGTTCCTTTTCCTGAGTTTTCTATAGGTCTCTGTTGACCCAACAGATAATAAAAATCTGTGGATCCTTTTCCTGATCCCTACCATCTCAAAAATATGTTGTCATGGGGCCGGCCCGGTGGCGCACTGCTACAGTGCGCCGCTTGGGAGCGTGGCGGTGCACATCTTCCTTACTTTTTGGCGAAAAGTAGGTATAAATAGAAACTGTAATATTTTCTCCCCACATCTCAGGTAATATTTTCCAGTTTTGAAGGTTTTCATTGATAGTTTTTCCCAAATGTAAGATTTGAAAAAGGGTACCACTAGTAATAGGAAATCTGTGGCCCTTACCAAATCCTAAAAAGACACATGTGAAAATAAAGTGTATCTAACAGAAATAATTACACATACAGCATACTGTCTTAAATCTAATACAAACCTAAATCATTAAGGTTGAAATAAAAGTCAAGTACCTATAGTTTAGATTAAAATTCCAGTATAAAGTTAGCAGAAATCAGGAAACAAATTTCTGTGAAATTTATTGTTTATTAATGTAAAATGTAGATCTTAGAAAGTTAAAAGATATTGGCTATATCCTTAATGATCAATGAATTACAAAGAAATGTTTTCAATATGCTTAATAATCAAAATGGAAAGAACCATTTAGAAAAAAACTAGCCTTAAGATTACTTCTAAGAGACACTGTCACCTAAAATTACTTAGTAGTATTTGGTAAGTTTTCACAGTTAAACAATTTGAAAACACCCAAATTAAAAGTTTTGTTTGCTACAATGGCTTCTTGCTTCATTCATTCATTCCAAATTTATTGAATGCCTTCTATATATCAGCCTCTGTGCCAAGCTTTACATGAAGATTAAGTAACTAGATTAAGAAAATTAAACAAGAACAATAGCAACAAAAACCCAAAACAGAGACAGCATGTTGGTTAAAGGAAAAACAAAGGATAATATTTCTTTATAACTCTTTTTCATAATTTATAACCTCTTTAAAAAAGAGATACACAATTTCCCCCCAAATATACAGCTACTTGAATTTGATGTCTGCAATTCTTCTCTAGTAATTAAGATATATTGTTTTATATTTCTGCATTATAGCTATGCTTTTCTAACACATAATCAAAGTGATTTTAACTTATTTTATCAAAAAAAGGATGACATAAAACTCTAAGGAAGCATATTTCTGCACTCTAATAGTGAGGGCAGATGTCACTATTTTGAAAACCTTAAAAAAAGTCTTTATATTTAAAAAATCCCTAGCGAAAGTAACTGCCATAAAAATTTCAAAATGGAAAATGTAATTATGAGCAGAGAATTTTTCAAGTGACGTAAAAAATGGAGCATAATAAAAACAAATGGTATGTATTATTACGGAAATAAAAATCCCAAGCATGTTAGAAACATGAAAACTCTAAAAACAATTTAAATCATACACCTCCTTATGCCAGAAGGGCATTGCTGTGAATCTCAAAATGTATCTGAATAAGGTAGATCTGTAGATGGAGGTTAAAAAATAACTTGGGAGTATTTTGATCACTTACTCAGGCCTTTTGATCCCATGTCGTCAGGGATCTCCTGTAGAGAGTAGTCCCCAGAGAGCAAGCAATAAAAAGATAATCAAAGAAAATAGTTGTCAGTGATGCTTAAAATTGGTGCTACAGTAAGAGACAGTTCCAAGACCATTACAGGTGCACATATCTTACAGAGCGTTTTTATAGATTTCTGAAAGTTTGAAATGAGCTAGCAGCTAAATGTAAGCTACCAAAAAGAATGAAAATTCTAGCTTTGAGGCTGATTGGGGCATAGAAGCAAACTTTTAGATCATTTCTTGCTATTTTAAAAGTCAAATTCAGACTGTTTACATATAATGAAGAAACAGGATAAAATGGAGTGATTCTAGACAATCTAGTATCAAAGACTGGCAGTGCTATTTCTAGAAATCAATAGGTAGCTTCTCAGGTATCCATCCATGTTTTTCCTCTAAAATGTTCTTTAAATGTATGTATGTTAAATTTTTTTCATAAGAATCCTTACTTCAAACAATTCTATTTATCTATTTGTTTACATTATAAACATAACTTAAAAATATTTTTTACTTAAAATTAAGAATTCCTAAGGTGCCAGAAAAAGTTAAAACTAGCATATAGATTAATTTATTACAGTTAAGTTGCCCCTTGTTAAGACAATTAGGAACCTGTTGCAGCTCTTGAAACTGTCTCCATGGTAACAACCAACTGCAGGGCAGTAGGTCCCTCTACATTTATTTTCAGTTGACCACTGGATCCACATACTTACGGTCAGCATCACTTGTTTCCTGCTCACTCTGGTCCTTGTTCTTGTAGAAGGGGAATTTTCGGGAAAAGAGGTTCTTTTTACGCTTGTCATTGAATGACTGCTGAAGAAGAGAAGGAGGGGCAAAACAAAGGGATGTCTACTGTCTGTGTGTACAAAGGCCCAGCCTAGCAGCTCTGTGGAAGCTGACTCCTGTGACCAAAGTGTGCAGTTTTTATATAAATTTGACTTTAATCACATAAAGTGAATTTCTAATTTTGTATAAACTCTTCTAACTCTAACATCTTGCAACTAAAGATATTAAAAAAAACCTTAAAGAGTATAATTCAGTTATACCTAAAAAGGAGTACATGCTACTTGACAAAAAAAGATAAGAGTAAATCTGGCTGGCCAGTCAGCTCAGTTGGTTAGAGCGCAGACTTGTAATACCAAGGTCAGGGTTTAGTTCCCTGCAGCAACCAGCGCCAAAAAAAAGATAGGAGTAAATCAGATTCACTATTACTATAGTCCATATTTTTCTAGAAAAAATTTCTAATTCTGTACTAGGTGCTCTATAACAAAAAGATATTTTAAAGATTATTTTGCTGCTCAATTATTTTTTATGCGTTATGTGGTCTTCTTCATTTTACTTTGGCCTGACCAGTTTTTCTTTTTATCCCTTTTTTTTTTGTGTTGCTACAATGAACTTTAATAGTATCTTTTTAATAGAAAAGATACTATTAAAAAAGCAAACCAAGACAATTAGAGAAAGTTGCTAATGCTAAATATTCAAAACCAAATGATCTTAAAAAAGATAACTAAATGCTTATGGCATGAATCAGCAAATAGGAAGAAAACTAAGAGGTCCATCAAAGACTTATCAATGCTATCAAAGCCAAAAAGAAGAATCAGAAGTCTCCTGGCTAACTGGAATATTATCACAACTGATTTACTTGTTTTTAAGTGCCACCACACTTATCTATTTTAAAAAGTATATATAAATAAAATAGAACCACATCCAATCCATTGGCCCCATATCCTGCATAAAGAATAAAAAGTATGGTTCTCACCAAAGCCACAAAGGCAATTAAAGTTTTAATAGTTTATACATAATTGTTATGAGAGAGTTGAGCGACTAATTTGATGTTCCTTATTGCACAGGTGCTGAAAAGTTTTTTTTCCTTGAATGTCCCATTTGTGTGTTATTAGATTTAAGAGCATGTAGCACAAAGAATGATGAAGCTATTAAAGAAGAATAGCTTCTTTTCTAATTTCTCTATCCATGTTTCAAAGGAAATGGCCTTACCTAGAAGTGACACTATGAATTACTTTTTTTTGGGGGGGGGGGGGGAAAAAAAAAAAAAAAAAAATTTTTTTTTTTTTTTTT